AAATGTGGGTATAAGTATGTTATTTTACGGAGTTATGGGGTTTAAATAGGAGGTCTAGCAATAAATGTTTCATCAACAATATTTTTTAAAAAATATTTCAAGCTCCTCGGATAAATCAGCAAGTCATTATATTGCTTGGAATACAATTAAGTGAACTGCAGGACAGACAGCATGCTGTGTATACTCCCTGCTCCTTAGCAAAGTGTGGCATCAATATTTTATTTATAAAATAAGTAAACAAATAATTAGATATCTCATCAGCATCATGCAGAAGGGTTGTGATCGCCATCCCTGGTTTATAGGAAACCCAGATGTATTATTGGCAGGACATTAATGAACATGTTGGCATGTATGCGAATGTGTGCTTTCACAAATGGAAGAAATAGGGGTCTGTTTATTCACGCTGGGCTCCTAGGTCACAAGCCACCAGAACAAATCCACACCGCCAAACCAATTCTGTCTCCCTCTCCTAAAACAAATTATTTTCCTGCTTGTTACATTTTAAGCAGTATTTGGATCCAAGTCCTGGATAATCACAGTACTTAGTGTCTTGGGAGAGTGTTCTAAGCTTAAAAGGCCTTACTCATTACTGCATTATTCTAGTTCTAAAGCTCATGCAATTTCACCTATTTCAATATAGCTAAAGGAGGAAACAGCAGAAACAGCAGATCAAATTCAGCAAGTAGATACACCCTCCTGCCAAGATTTTTAAAAAGACTAGAATTAGAGAAATAAGTCACACTTCCTGAAGTCGCGGTGCACATCAGTGATTAAACCAGGATTCCAGCTTTTAGAATACACCACAATATCAGACATTACTGGAACAACCCCAAATTCCCACATATTTCTAAGCAGCAGTTTTGCCGATCTTCTTATCTTTTAAAATTGCATTCTCACTAAAAATGTATCTCTCATATTATCTGCCTGGCCAAATTGATGTGGCAGTGTTGGCATTCTCCAGGTTTCTTCAATTAAACAATACTATCTATCAGAATGTCAGAAGTGTACCTTCTCTATAGCAATGCCTGGCTGACATTACCCTCCCTGGTAGGAATCAGGCTGAAGAAGCAGGGGCCAGAAGTTCCCAGTCAAGTAAGAGTCATTATACAGTTAAATAAATAATCCCAACCCTCATCTTTGTCTTGAAAGAGAATAGCCAAATATCCATTAATTTTGGAAAGGCAGAGAGGAAAAAAAATCTAAAATTTAAACTTTAGAGCATTGACATATACTCATAACATTTATATGCATACAGGTATAAATGTACACATATGTGCACAAACATGATTGCTTTATAGTGCAGTAGATAGATCTTCTGTTGGCTTTATTCTTGCCTACAACTAATGTATAGATAGTTTTTGACTTATGACTGTAGTTATATTTTTAAGTCATGCCAGTTGCTAAGTGGGTTACCTGACTGACCTGATTTTACATTTTTCGTGTGGTAATGATTAAGCAAATACTACAGTCGTTAAATGAACCCATTGTCCACAGTGGGCAGTTTATGCCAGAAAACAGAAGCAAATGCTGGGCTCTGTTATGCAAAGGGCTTTGTGCTGTTCGGCACCTTAGGGACTCTTGTAGCCCTAGAGTGGCACCATGCCAAAAAGCCCCTGAGCCACAGCATATTCTTTCTCTGGGCTCTGTGATACCACACACACACATGCATGCACCCCACACCCTCTTTCCTCAGTCTCTCTGAGCTTGTGTTATACTGTAACACAACCCTAACTAACATGCAGTCTATAGTTCTCCCAGGGCCTCCAGGCCCACAGTACTTCCACATGTCTGGGACTTCCTCCACTTCTGACTTAGTGAACTGTACATCTGGGGTCAGATTGCTGCCGCTAAGTGATTCAGACACATGACATTGTGCTTTATGACAGTATCGCTTAGCGACAGAGTTCCAATTGTAGTCATAACTCAAGGACTATCTCCATATTCTTAAGACTGGTTTCTGTTCAAAAATATGACAAAGCTTTCTAAAATAAAATTACAATAAAAATAAAATAAAATAAAAATAAAGGTGCCATACGATTGAGGCATGCAAAGTAAGATTTGATGCAGGAGAAAATTGATAGGGAGCTACCAAAAATCCAAAACCTGGCTTTATCCAAACTGAATGATGGAAAATTCAGGGCAATCAAAAGTGCTTAATTGGAATTCAGTATTACAAAATATTGTGATGGTTAATCTCAACTGCTTTAAAGGAATGGCAGTATGCCTCTGAATTATTGGTTGCTAGAGAATCTGAAAAGGAGCTTGCTTTTGTTCTCATGCCCAGGCACGTGCTTAGGGTTACAATACAATGAACTAGATAGGCCTTTGATTCTCATCCACCATTGTTCTTGTGATTCAAATATTTTAGCAGGGAAATAAGAAAGCATTATCTGTTCTTGATGTCAAAAAATGAAGATCCTTTCCATGTAGTGAATAGGAGAAATATGGCCAGCAATATACTGATGGAAACAGTATAGTTTTGCAGCTAAGTGCTGGTAGAGATGTTCTGGTTTCATTAATTTTATGAATGAAAAAGAAAAGGATATTTCCAAATAAAACTATTTTTAAGCATTAATGTAACCATGGGGCATTGGAGAGAGAGAGAAGGAGGGAGGGAGGGAAGGAGGGAGGGAGGGAGGGAGGGAGAGAGAATTGATATTGCTTTTATTATTGAGTTACAATGAAATTAACAACGATTACAAGGAAATACAGTGATAGCAAAAGAAAAAGTTGAATGATTTTATTTGCAGGAATAGTATAAGACACACCCAGCTATTCATTTTTTATTTACAATGTGGGCATATATTTTATTAAGAAACACTGGTGCACTAAACATGGCTCAAACAGAAACATTTAAAAACAATAAACAAGCACATACAAAACACTGAGAAATGATATGATGTATTGTGCTCTTACCATTCTTAATAGTGTATTCTATTTGCGGCATTTGAAAGCTCTGAAAAGATATCACTGAGCATATAAACTCCACTAAAGTGAAGAATATATTTGTGATGACTTTGATTCCTCAATGTTCTGTAGCAATACATCTTGAGGCTATACATATAATGGGTAGAAAAAAGTATTTTTAACATCTACTATGTTGCACTTTTATTGGATGTCCTCTGGTATAGCAAATACCAGCATTCTCTCAGACAGTTCACTGTTTTGTATAATTCTTAGTGACTTAGATTCTCCATTGCATTTTAAATTACTTAGATTCCTTCTTTTCATCATTGCAAATTTTTAATTCATCAGTCTTTTCTAATTTTATTTTTTTTTATCTCCAGAATAAAGCAACAAATGTCTAAGGGGATTGAATCTGAAATTCTTAATCTTTTTCATCAGAATTTATAATGGCCTCCTTAATTTGGCAGTATCACTGAAATCTGAGATTACCATTCTCTCCAAGATGAACAAACACACAAATAAAAAGAGGAATTAGTACTAAAACTGTACATTCATAATTATGAAAATTGCAATATATAAGCGGTCAATAGTTTTCAATAGCTTGCTTGATCCTCTAGAATGGGGAAAAAATGAACAGGGATCACAATTTGTGATAGAATACGTATCTGCACACAGACCATCCCAGCATCCAATTCAATACATCTCCAGTGAAAAAAGATCAAATAGCTAGTGACTGAAAAAAACATCTGCCTAAGTCCCAGGAGAGCTTCTGCTTGGCTATACTGGGTTAGAAAGATAAATAGTCTGATGGCATATGGCAAAGTATCTTCCTGGGATTATAAGATTATATGTGGCAAGGGATGTGTAAATGAATATAAATCTAGTCTATGTCAATGTCACATGTACTCACATCTTATGCCAATCCATCCAATTGCTTTGCAAATTATTTAGAAAATACTGCCTCAAACCTCAATTTTCACTTTCACAAGGTTTTTAGATGTATCTTTCTGCAAAATACATATTTTTCTACATAACCTAGTAACATAAATTGCTACTTTCTTCTGTTTACTCCTTTTTTATGTTCAACCATTCTTTATCTCTTTGAGGAGCTGTTATTCTTTAAACTTTTCCTAAACTTTATTTCTTAGACAGCTTTTCTATGTATATGCTGGATTTGCATGAATTTTCTTTCCAAAAGGAGTGCCAATAAATTCCCTGTATTGCTGCCATGTACACCATGACAGAATCTGCTCTGGTGAATCACAGCACTACAGTGTAAAATAAACCCACAAGAGATTCCTCTTGCATGATTTTGCATAGTTTATATGAGGATGAACTGTAACATCCATTCATTTTACAATTAAAAGAAACCACCGTAGAGTCAATAGCAGTTAATTATTTTCCATTCCCTTCTGGACAATTTCCTTTATACAGTAGTCAACTGTTGCAAACTTCCTGTTGGATACAGGCTTGCTCACATTCAGAAAATGCTAAGTGGAATCATTATGATAAGGTAGTAATAAGCCTTGTCTAGGCATTCATTAGAACAGTGTTTTTCAACCTGGGGAACTTTAAAGTGGTGGACTTCAAATTCTGGGGAATTCTGGGAGTTGGCGTCCACAGACTCTAAATTTTCTTATACATTCTAGTGCACGGGTGTCAAGCTCATGTTGCCATCATGTGATGTATTGCGATGTTTTTCTCCTTCACAGAACTGAGGTGGGCATGGCCTGCATACAGTATCTGAATTACTGCATATTTTTATTATTTGATTATGATTTCATGTTATAGAATTATTTGTTTTTATAGATGTAACTGCCAAGAGTCACTTTGCAGCTGTCAAATTATGTAATAAATGAATAAAGGATGACAGGTCATAAATGAATAAAGGATGACAGGTCACAAAAATAAGAGGACATAAAGGAAGACCATAAACAACTGCAGAGATACTAGCAAGGAACTGATTTTTTTTAGAATGAGCTGAGGGCTTTAAGAGCAACAAAAAAAAGGGAGGGGGGAGGCAAGAACTGAGGTTTCAGAATTATAGAATATCTATTTCAAATGGAATATCCGCTTTGGATTATTTTCTCTAGGGAGGAATTAAGGAGGACAGATGTCTCTATCTGAAAGAGGACAAATGTCTCCAAGAGGAGAAAAAGGAATATCTCAGAAATTAGAGATCAATCACTCAGGTATCAACACATGGGATTTTTTTTTTTACCATAGTTGATAAAGTGATCCATATATTAAGATCCTTAAAAATAATGGGGTGGTCAATAAATCTTGTTGGGCTAACATTCTCTAATTTTTTCAGTCAGTAACTTCCCCAGAAGTTTCTAAGAACACTCATGACATAAGATACCTCAGTTTCAACAAAGGACTTGACAAAGTGTGCTCTGTGCTTTGAGAAGCAAGCTTATCAGTGTGGGTTGGGTAGCATGACAATCATACATCCTGCTACCTCAAAAATGATACTCAATAAATACCAAGTGACTCTTCTTCAGATGTGCAGGTGATGCAGCATTGAATGGGATAGGTTACATCCTAGGATTTAGCAATACTATTTAAAATAATTTTGGCTTGTTAGAAAAACGGGCTGAAAATCAGCATGCATTGTAACTGAGACAAATGTAATTTTTTTCACTCCAGAAGAAGAAACCAAGGACACAGGTAAGAAGGCATGGTGTACATCTGTTTGATAATAGTTATGAAAAAATATCTTGGATTCAGTTAGCTAAATAAAAACTGAAAACCAGTCAGCTGTGTGATGCAGCTGCAGGAAAGGCAAATGCAGCTTTATTCTGAATCAACAAAATATAAATCCCAAATTACAGGAAGTAATTGCTGTAATTTATTTTGCTTTAGTCAAATCCCCCATGGATACTGTGTACAGTTCTGGACACAAGTTAAAGATTCAGTAAACGCAGAGCAGATTCAGAGAAGGACAAGATAAGCAAATTCAGAAGAGACTAGAAATTAAGAAGCCCTATAAAGGAATTTAGGAGCAGATTGATCTTAGTCTATGACAGCCATTCTTGCAGCTGATGAAATGAACTGTAGATCACAAAAGTTTATATTTTTTTAATAATATTTGTTGATTGGAAAAGATGCTGTTAAATGCATGTATTTAGCTTGGAGACAAGATGATTGAAAAGGTATGATAACTGTTCAAATCCTGGGAAAAGTAGCCATAAAAGATAAAAAACTGTTTTTTAATATTGGATCTAAGATATGGGAAGAAAGATTGGGGAGGATCCTAACAATAAGAATAGTTTGATAGTAGAAGCAATAATTGGGCAAATTTGTCGGCTCCCTTTCATTTCTCTGGGATGCTTTAATTTGGATTTCTGTACTGAACAGGGGATTGGACTGGATGGCCTAAGCAGTCTCTTCCAATTCTGTCAGTCTATAATATTATTTTGCCTTTAAAAAACCTTTTCTATTTTTTCCCGCCAAGGGCAAGATAGCTCTTCAGAAGCTCTAGGAGTAAAGCAGAAGCCTCCATCAGGTCACAAGTGTAAGTCTGTTTCTCCTCCCCCTTAATACTTCTTCCAATAAAGTTCAAATGAAAATCTCCCTGTAAATGTTCCTTTCAGCTATCTTAATACTATCATATTTGAAACGTTCACATTTCATCTACAATCAGCATTAAGAGCAAATGTAATCTAGATTTTTAAGCAATTATAATCTTGGGAAACAACCACTGTTGAACAACCACTTCTCCCCCACCGATAATTCTCTTTATATTGTAAAAACTAATTCTGCTGCAGCTATGCAGCTTGCACGCATATGGCATTAAGACAGGGGTGAAATGCTATCGGTTCACACCGGTTCAGGTGATCCAGTAGTAATAAAATCTACCAGTTCCAGGCGAACCGGTAGTAAAAAAAGCTACTGGTTCATCTGAACCGGTATTTCTGACGATCAGCTGTGCAGCACCATTTATATTCGCTAGAAAGCAGTAAATCCTGCTTTCTAGTGAATATAAATCGCGCAGCACAGCTGTTCCCCACCCTCGTTGTTCTACTTACCTTCTTAAGGCTCCTTTTTCCACACGAAGCACATGTTTGGTGTATACTGCGCATGCTTGGCATGTACCGTGCATGTGCAGGCAGTGAACCAGTGGGAACCTGTGGAGGATTTCACCACTGCACTAAGATACGGCGGTGATGAAGGAGCAGATGTACATGGCCAGTTCTCTCTATCAGGTTGAGCTTCTCACTGAATTGTAAAGTCTACAGGAGAATCACAAGGATACTGGAAGAACATGGGTACAAGCAACTCCAGTATTTGAAACCCTGCCTTCTTAGGATTTCTACTTTCAAAGAAATTTGTGAGTGTGCTTACAAACTCTTGCCTAGTAGGACAGAGGCCTCAAGACCCCAATGAAATCAGGACAAACACTTTATGCATTCAATGTCCATCTTACACATTTAGCTCTTGATTATAAAGGTACTGTCCTCAGAATTGTAAACACAGCAAATGTTATAAAACTCCCAAATTAATGCTAAAGTGGCTTGCATTTTTATTTCAGTTCTTTAAAGGAGAAGCTGACTACATTTTTTCAAAACTGACTATTGAAGATTAAAAATTCACCTTGAATATGAAAATCTTCTGCATCTGGAGCTCTTTGTTCAACTGACATTATCCCACAATTGTGTTAAAACAACTCAGCTAAAGTAAACTCAAATTAAAAAGCTGTGCAGTCTTCGTTCCAGTTATTACCACAGCCATATTGCTGGCATCCTTGCCATTTACTTAATGCCAGACAATCTGGATAGATGCCTATTGGGTTACTTGCCCTACTTGTTTTTTAAACACTCCTAATTTAGATATTAATATTTAACATCAACATTACTGCCTGACTTCCTACAGAGGAGCTTTTAGCCCATATGTATTCAATAAACTGAAAAGGGGGTTCTCCTGAGAATGCAAAAGCAGCTTAAGATAAGAGTCCTCACTACTCAGCGCAGCTGCAGGTGCTCGTCACAAAACTCTAAATTCAATACCTGAACATCATTCATACTGAACTTCTAGCATTAGGATAAAGTAATTAAATTATAAAGGTGCATGAATTTTCATGCAAAATACAAGTATCTATTATACCTTACTATAAGAGCCTTGATGGTGCAGTGGTTAAAGTGCAGTGTTGGGCAAACTCTGCCCACAGCCTGGAGTTTGATCCTGACAAGGCTTAAGGTTGACTCAGTCTTCCATGCTTCCAAAGTCGGTAAAACGAGGACTCAGATTACTGAGGCAATAAGCAAATTATGCTTCTACCTTGTAAAATGCCCAGAGAGTGTTGTAAAGCACTATGGGGCAGTGCATAAGTACAAATATATGTCACCACTGAGCCACGGTGGCGCAGTGGTTAGAATGCAGTACTGCAGGCTACTTCTCTGGCTGACTGCACATCAAATCTCACCAAGCTCAGGATTGACTCAGCCTTCCATCCTTCTGAGGTGGGTAAAATGAGGACCCAGATTGTTGGGGGCAATATTTTGATTCTGTAAACAGCTTAGAGAGGGCTGTAAAAGCACTATGAAGCAGTATATAAGTCTAAGTGCTATTGCTATTGCTAAATGCTATTGCTATTGCTATTATGCAAATACATGTGTTCTATAGTATAGAAGGTTTTTAATCTAGGATTATGGAAGGGGAGTAAGAGGAGAAATAATTAATCTATATTGAAAATAAAATAAAGTCTTTACAAGCTAAGAAAAATGCAGGTTTAGAAATTTGCTTGTTTGGAGAGTTTGAGCATAAGATCTTATGAACTGAAATAACGTAGTCAAGGATAAAATGTGCCATGTGCCATTGCACATGATTGAGCTGTCCTTGTTGCTTCCTTGTTATGTTATTGCATAAAAAAAGGACCTTGACTCAGTATGGAACAGATAAGCTTCGATGGGCCTCACTTCAGAAGCAATTTTCTGGTTTCTTTGAAGGGACAGGGGGCTGAAGAGCGATTTTTCAGAAATGAAAATCAGCTATTTAATCTAAATTATCATCCACCAATATTCTCTAATATAAACTGTTATCCCTTCCAGCACAACCTTATATTCAGACATGAAAGGACCCAAACTATAACAAAGTTCAAATATAAAAGTGGGAAAATGCTTTTTCTCCATTTACTCTGTATGATCTCTCACTTTTTTTTCCTCTGTTATACACAAACATACATACACACAAATACATAAATTTAATGCAATTACTGAAATCTGACTTTTAACTTCCTGGAATTTTTTTCCCTTGTTGACTCGAGAGAGGGGATACTGGTAGTGTGTCCTGATTATTAAATTATGATTTCCATTATTTTGTAATATTGGCTGCCCTCACTTTCTGAGGGGGTTTCTTAAGAGAACTTCCCACTTGATGGTTAAGACTTATTTGAAATGTAGGAAGCAAGGGAGGCTTCAGATGTAGAAGAGGAGATCAAAAAAGCCAGAACATTTATTTGATTCAATTTAATCATTGAATCAAATAAGTCAATCCCAATGAACTTTGGGTGGTTCACAATTTGATAAATAATAATAAGTCTCTCTTTTGATGAAAGGTTCCAAGGCACAGCTGCAGTACAACTTCTTCTGAATTTACAAGTGCATTTTTTTTCCATATTACCTACCCATCATTAATGTTTATTATTATAAAAGGAATTGTTAATGGTATTATAACTGTATACAGCAGCCTTCCTAAATAAAATATGTAGGAACTAACTTCCAGAATTCCAAAACAGCATATACTGCACATAATTTTATTAAATGGTATATATCAAGGTCTCACATAATTTTCAGTGGAATTTCACTGAAACAGCTGTAAATATTAATGCTGTTTTCTCTTCTATCCTGAAGTCTCAAGTATTGTTTCAGTGAAGTTCAATTAACATTACACGCCTGGAGAAAACTGGCTCCTACAATTGACTGGAAAAGGGACATATACAAAAGAGGAATGGTAAAAAAAACTTCACACCTGGTATAGTAAGTCATTTTAACTATTTTTAAAATGTTTTATTGATTAGATTTTTAGATTCCAATCATCATGTGACTCTCAAACTCTAAAAAATAAATTATTCATAATGCAATATTGTAATTAAAATATATTGAATTATAAAAAGAATAACCATATTTATCTTAAAACCAGAGCATTTAAATAATTGCAAATGTACTATTCCAATTAATTAAAAAGGACTTCCAGAATAGCTCTGCTTTAACCTGCTCCTGGAAAGTGGTGGGGCAAACCTCCTCTCCAATAGAATATGATTCTGTAATATGGAGATATTATAGAAAAGCATCTCCTCCTAATCTTGGGCATTCTAATCTCTCAGTGGTGGGGTGACTCCTACATGGAATTCATTCAATGATTATGTCAGGTTTCGAGGTCGTCTCAAATAAATTGCATTTTAAACAAAGTCTTTGAAGAAAAACTCCTATTTATTAAGCACGACATTCTAAATCCGACTCCATCGAAGCCAACACTGACTTCCAGACACAAAACCCTCCCTTTCCGTTCCCCACTCCCCTGCACTCATTGGCCATCTTCCAAGTCATTCTACCACTAATCAACTGCTCTGGCTCAAAGGAATTTCCCCCCTCCCATCCCATCTCCTAGGGGATATTATCTCCAGGGAAAATAAGTAGGTGAAAAGTCAAACGTCCCTTTCCAGACGCCTCCGCTTCTCCTTCTTATGTCAGCACTAGAGTAAATGTAGCTTGAAGTGCTGACAGATTAGTTATTGATCATTTTCCAGATGAAAAAAAATAGTTTGGAAGTATTAAACATATCCAAAGTATGCCTCCTAATTCTTCACTGCAATTTTTAGAAATGCATGCAGTCATATTTATATATATTGGGGAGAAATACATCAATGTGTAAATATTAGGAGCAATCGTATACTCAAATAAATTTTAGCTCTCAGTATGTTTAGATTCTAAAGTAGAAACAAGGTAGGACACATTTACTATTGCAAAGCTGACAAGGACCACAAACGACTGAGCTGTCACTACTACAACAAGCAGTGGAAGGCCTCTGATACTTCAAGGTACATGGGGCACAACCGAAACATCTGGAAACTGCAAGCAGTACAAGTTATCTTTCAGCCTAAGCTCAATTAGTTCAACTGCCTGCTTTGTGCAGCTACCCAAATTAAAGCATCATCTGCTCAAACATTCTCAGTGAAGGAGAACTCAATATCTTTTTCTGCAACTGGTTCCACTGTTGAACTGTTCTATTAAGAAGTCGTTCTTAACATTCAGCTGGAATCTGCCTTCCCTCAAATTAAAACCACTGTTCTATGTCCTGTCTCTGAGATAAGGACAGATGTTGGCCTTCTTTTTTGCGTTGTCCTTTCAGATAGTTGAAAAGTACTATTTGCTGGGCATCTTATGAGTTAAGCAGGGTCAGATCTGGTTAGTATTTGGATGAGATACCACAAGAAAATACCATAGTTATAGACCAAATTGGAAAGTCAATAACAAAACAGGAGAAAGCAGTGACAAACTACTTTGCCAAAGTAGATACATCCATACAGCTACCAAAAGTTTACATATACTTAATAGAGGCTAAACTAATGGAAAATGTGACCATTAAAAGTCATTGGAATATCACTTTTGTTTTATATAAAGCATTAAGTCTCTGAAGGTACTCAATACTTAAACTAAATAATAAGCCAAACTTTCTGGCTTACATTAAAAGTCCTTTTTTGTTTCAACAAGGATTTGGGGGAGGGGGGCATTGGAGTTATTTAACTTTCAGCATGTTACTGCTACTTGGGGAGTATATTAAATATGATGTTATAATCTTATTTATTTGTTGTAAACATTTTTGAAGGCCCACGTGGCACCCAAACTGATACATCAAATAAATAGGTCCCAATATTATATCATACCAAATCTTTCTTCTGGGAGCAATTTACGATAATCATTAACAAGCAAGTCAAATCTCTGGTCAACCTCTGTCGTAGGAAACCTATCTGAGTTTGCAAAATTATTATGATTACATTACAGGTACTTCTCCAAAACGCTTAGTCTCTTAGTAAATCCCAAACCCTTGCAAGAGGAAGAGAATACACTTATGTGTTAGCAACAGGGGGAAAGCATGTGGGAGTGGAAAGATTCTAGAGGAGCACAGCCATCGCTTATGACGTATTTTACTTATTACTGGAGGATGGCAATTCGGCAGTAAAATACAATGTTGTCACTTTCAATATGTGCTAAAGGTGATTTAAAAAAGCTGGCTGGGAACAACTTACAGTGTTATCTGATTACAATACACCAGGTAAATCAAATTAATGGGAATGGGGGCTATATCATCTCTTCTGACAGCCCCAGATCAATTCTCCACTATAACTAGTTCAGGCAGAATTTTGAGGATCCTTCCCATCTTCTTAAGGACTTCATTTCAGAGTATCCAACTTTGAGAAAAAGGATTAAATTGTTGAGCTAAGAACAAGACAAATCCTGGCTTTCCTGCTTAGGAAGGAACAAGAGAATGGATGATAGCATCCAAGAAGAAAAAGACTTATGCCGAATATTCAGACTTCAGATGAATATTCAAAACAATTTAACAACATTAAAAGCAGTAGACAATATTAGAATTAAATACTAATAGTGTTTAAAAATTTCATAGATAAAAACACAATGAAGGATATGATCAAGGATATATTTGCCAGAGTCTAGGAGCTGCAGAGAAAAGG